GGGCGGCAGAGGGCCGCGGGGCCTGGGCGGGAGCGGGGCCGCCGCCGGCTCTGTCACATGGGGCTGCCCGGCCAGAGGGCGGGGTGTTGAACCCCGCTCTCCCGGCGTGTGGCTGCAGCTCCTCAGGTGCTGACCCCTCAGCCGGCTGGCAGAAGCTGCCCGTCCCTCTCTCGCCTGTCTGTCAGGTGCGAGGGAGCGTGCCGGAGTGCTGTCGGGCGTCAGCGGCTTCCCAGACTGTCGAGTTAACCAGCCCTTTCCAACATTAACCTATGCTGTGTGCAAATAAGAACACAATGTTTTTCATGAAGCTTTTAAAGTGCCATTTAATGTGATCAAGTCCTGCAAAAGCACATGTTATTTGCTTTCTCCTCATGTATTTTTCATCTAACTTCTCTTTCAGGATCATGTACCATGGGTGAACCTATATCTGAATCTGGGTTTGCAGCCTCAGCTTTCTATGCTCTTGATAAATCTTGCTGTGAATTGGTAAGTAGCTTTGAAACTAGAGGAGAAACTTGCAAGATCCTCCAGTGGGGTTTATACCCAGATCTGATCTACAGATTAATTGCTAGTGTTGATTAATTCAGGCTGATGCAAAAGTACCTTACACTGCTGTATGTTACTCACTTGCCATACTAAATTGTGGTAGAGCATAGAGACTGTGTGTCCTCTATCAGGCAAGTTCTGCTGAATGCATGTACAACTATGTAAAACTAAACAGGGATGATCCTGTTAGCAGAACTTCACCAATCTGTTGGCTGTGTATCCGGGCTGTATTTGGGATGATATAGCTCAGAGTCACAGATTCAGTTCTTTCAATTGCAAAGCATTGCAACTTAGTTGATGTAAGTTCAAGTTGGCAAATTAACTGCAGCATGTTCACCTATTCCTTGTTCTTGTCATCTCAACAATTTTTTTTGTAGTTCTTTGTGCCCAATAAGGCCCCTACTTATTTAGCTGTTTCTTTTATTAAATAAACTGTAGCCCTCTTCTGCTTTAATACTTCCAGAATTGCTTTCCTTGACTCTTATTTTCCACTTCTTGCTGTGCTTAAGGAGTCTTAGAAGACACTGTGGTAGTTAATCTTCCTGTTGCTTGGAAAGTTCAGTCAAGAGTTATTTATCCTAAGTGTTGCTGCTGCAAAATAGGAGCTAGCTGGCCTACTGTTCTTTGTAGAAACAAAAACTACAGGTAAATTGAATTTCTTATTTGTAAAGCTGTATCTTTACAAGGGACCATTATCAGTAGTGAGTCTCATTGGAAATTGTTTATATTAATAAAGATTTTTTTTGTGCTGCGAACGAAATGAAGTACTTTTAAAAGTTGTGTCAGCATAAGTTACTAGACACTTTATCCCCTAAGGTGGTGTGTGCGCTCTGTTACGGAAAGAAAGGCCTTGATTCTGTGCAAGCGCTAACTCTTGGTTTTCAGGTTTGCCTTAGTGTGAATACCACCTGGGCTTGACATATAGAGGAGGTGTGTGTGTGCTTTGTTTTTGTTTTTTTTTAAAATATTGTAGCAAAATCCATGCTATGGAGTAAAGGAGAGTTTCAGTCATCTTTCAAGATGAACTGATTTTGAAATAAGAGATAATTTTTTTTCCTCTTTGTTATCGAGTGTCCTGGTCTGTTAAGCATCAATGTTCTAATTTATTTTTGAGAGTAAGCCTTGATTTAATATGTAATATTGTAATAGTTCAGAAATGCTGCTTTGGGTGAAATTATGTGATTGCTTGTTATCACTTTAGGTCAAGTTAGTAAATCGTCATTGCACAGCATGCTAGCATTTCCAGGAAGTCTGCCAGAAAGAATAAATGTTTGCTAAAGAAACTTTGAAAGATGTGTTTGGTAATCAGTTTGGTTTTATTCTTTTCTCCAGTCATATTCTTTAAAATGGTAGTGTGGAATACATAGACATGATATCTAGTATTTATTAAATGACACATGTATAATGTTTGTTAACATAATAGATTTTGTAGGGATCAGTAAAACAGAACAAAGTCATTTATTCTTCAGCTTGAGAGGCTCATATGGAGCACTATGTTTTAAACTAAGTATTGGTACAGTATGCTTCCATGAAGTAGAAGATCAACCATTCCACTTACTTTGATATGTATGTATTTAGTTAAATATACGGGTGCTAATGGTCAGAATGTTTTGGGGGTTTTTTTGAAAACCTATGTTATCATCTTAAATGTGTTTCCTTAGGTATTCTTGAATGTTATATGCTGCCTAGTACCCGATTTTGAATTATTAATTAGAATACTATTCTAGTATGGTTTAATATATTGTTTAAACTAGTAAAAATCTTCCTATCTATTAATAACTATTAATCTATGGACATTTTTGAACGGATATGCAGGTTAACATTTTTTTCATAAGACAGCAACCAAACCATTGTATTAATTCTAGTAAATGAGCTTTTTTTCCCCGTTGTTTTTTTGTTTGCTCTTTGGCTGTGCTTAATGTGAATTATAAAGATTAGATCCAGAGAGGTTTGTCATTTGGTAATGCAGAACGTTGCAGACTTCAAGTTTCCTTGTTTTCCTCAGAAAATCATTGCACTAGTGCAAAAACATGTGGGAGAATGAGGAATACCAATAGTATTTTATTCATATGGAAATGGGGTTGGGGGGAAAAAGCATGGGAGCATTTACTTAGCTCAGATTGGTCTTGGAAGATAGTGACATGCTGATGAGCATTGAATGAGCAGTTTTAACATTTTATAAAAAGCTTCTGTTCAGAATGAGTATATAGAAGGTACATAGAAATAATTTTCCTGTTTAGATCCGTGGTGTATGCATGAGTATTTTAGTTAATTACTAAATAATTATAGTTTATAGTAGTTAACTAAATAATTGTAGTTAATTATCAATTAATTTTGTTAACTAATGTATTTGCATTAGTTTTTTAGTTTGCATCAGGAGAACATTTTTGAAACAAATATCCCAGTTGTCCCCGTTTTTCATATTTTGGCTTATGTTGTGAAGAGGTAGTGGAGTGTGCTAGTGGGATTTATTGGGGATGAAACTAATCTGGAAGGTGTTTTTCAAGAGTATAGGTAATGTGCATCAACCACAAATGGGAGCTCTGTCCATGGGACTAGGGACTAGATTTGAACCAGTGCAAAGTAAAACCCCTTGAAGAGCATATCGTGTGATGTAGAATGCTTGGTACCAAATACTTTGCTTCATAGATTGATTTTTTGTTTAATCATGCTGCTTGCTTATGAAGATGTAATCATAGACATCTTTTATACCAGTCTAAGTATGTTCAATAATTGCCTTTTCTTGAGAAAAAGCATTGGTGACAGAACGTAGAAATCACTTCCATTCCTTTCTTCCCTGATGTAAACAGTTTATATTGGTTTAATATTTAGAAACAGTTAAGCAATCATTCTTTATAGGTAGTGTAACACATATGCAAGATGTGCAGTGTTAAAAAACATGTTTATCTCCAGGGTCACGGAGTGTTTGTACAGCAGTCACCGCATAAGCCTAAAACAGGTATGTAAACTGAACCAATATTACATAACTTTCTAATGCACTTTTCTTGCTGTGTTCAGATCTTTTGATTGCTATTTCACTTTTTTCCTTATTTTGTATAAAATAAATAGAAAATTTTTACTTTTCAGCAGAAATATTGGCATGTTCTTTTACACTCGAAGAATTCTCATCTTTTTGTCTTAATGTAATGTGCAAAAGACTGCTATATGTTTGTGATAGCAGTGTAAATACTCAATAATATGTACATATATGCAGTCAGGGTTATGAGGATGGAGTTTGAAGGCTTGTGTTCATAAGCAGTGTTTTAATTGTAGCTATGTTTTAGCTGTACAGGTCTAAAGACACCTTCAAGTTGATCTTTGTAGGCAAAGTTTTGCAGTGATAATATTTTTTTAAAAAAATTAATAGTTGCAGAAAAGCAGGTGGCTTGAGTATATCGAGTTCTTCAAAACTTTTATTCACTATACAAATGGTAACCTGTAATATGTAGGAAACTCGGATGAACACAGCCAGCTGTGTAAAATGGATTTTTACATATATTCAGATTCTCAGATAACCATGCTTCTGCTCTGAGAGTACTTGATGTCACCTCAATAGACTAATAAGGATCTTTACCTTTTAAAGACAGTATCTCAGGGAAATAGATTATATTTTTGAAAGAGCAATGCATCACACACATGGCCTTTAGAGAAGAAAAGAATATTGCTGATCTTTTTGTACTATGTTGCTGTGTGCCACATTACTCTGGATTTTTTGTAGAAAATAATTAAATGGGTACAGTTAAAAGAGGTTCATGTTTTATTTTGGAAGTAGAATCCCTTAGCCATTAAAGGGCTCACAGCCCTTGTTAGGCTCCTCATTTAGAAGCAGGCTGCATTTATTTGTTTATAATGTTTTTATATCAAGACGATTCAGAGTACAGGCAGTTACTTAAGCAAGAAATGTAAAGACTGCCAGCAGGTCCCTATTTTTACCTCTGTATAAATTCTCTCTTCCCTTTCAATTTATTAAAAAAACCTCAAGTTGACAGATGTGTTTGGAGTGTTCAAGTTTTCTTGTTTTGTTTAGGTAGTACTTAGGAATACAGTATGGAAATATCTCATGGTTTTGAATGTTTATTTGGCCTTTGATTACTTGTAATGCCTGAATTTTGTAGTCTAATTCCTAACTGTTTTCTTGAAGATGTTGATCCCTGTGAAGTGTGGTGCAGTCAACCAGTTGACATACTACGAGAATATTGCAATGTTATTAAAATACGCATCTTTTGGCCTCTTCTCTTCAAAAGTGAAAGTAATTATTTGGTAGCCGATTGGAGGTAAGTAATCATGTTCTTGAAGTGATTTCATCAACCTTTACTTCTTTTGTTGTTTTTTACCTGTGAAAGATCATTATATACTAGTCAATAAATTGTGTACAGGAA